CGCCCGATGGAGGTAGGTGAGAAAAATCCCCTGACATGCTCTCTGGGTGGCTGAAGTCCTCGGTGTGATGGGAAGGTGGGATGCTGCTGCGTCCCAAGGCTGCCGTGCCGGGGGCACCCAGGCTTGGTGATGCTGCACTGGTTTGGCCGTACTCCCTGCCACCATAGCCTTGTGCTGATGGTAGGATAGGGACAGCCACTGCATAGGGCACCTGGGAGGTTAAAGAGCAGCTGACATGAGACTTGAGGTTTTTATTTACCATGTGTGGGCCAAGCTGCCTCGTCGGAGGCACTCGGTGGGGTTTGGAGGGCTCTGCGCCCTGCCGGGACCGCGCGCTGTGGCAGTGAATGCAAGCAAGAGCACGCTGTGCCAAGCACATCAGGATCCTTCTGGGGGAAAGAGGCTCTGTGCCTCTAAAATATTAATTATCTGCCAGAGGAGAGTAAAATTTATGTATTGCGGCTGGCAGGCACCCCGGGACTGCTGGTCCCCTTTCCCCACCTCCTTCAAAGGATGCTGTCTTCACTGGGTTGCTTTGATCCTCTGAGCAGCCGCCCGCAGAAGCCCCCATGGGATCAAGAGGGCTTTTTGGAGGGAGGTTAGCTCAGCCTCCAGCTACTCCAGGCTGGCTGGGGAGATCCATGGGTGAGTGCCCCACTGCCAGGGGGTCAGCCAGAGGCGGTTGCCCACACTTGGCTCCTCCGTGCTTTCCCCAGCTGCACATTGTCCACATCAACGTCAAGTACCGGACGCTGGCAGAGGCCAAGGGGCATCCCAACGGGCTGGCTGTCCTCGGCTTCTTCCTCCAGGTGAGTCTGCAGGGGCTCACACTGCCGGTGGGAGGGGGCCCCCCGGGAGCTGGCTGCTGGCAGTGTGGCTGGGGGAGCATTGTATGGCTGCCCTGAGGGAGCGAGAAGGGGCAGGAGGGCTGGGCCAAGGCCAGGAGGTGCTGGGGGACCTCAGTGGGGAAAGGTGCCATGAGCCCCACACCAGCTCCATGTACCGGGGTGCTGGCTGGGAGCTCACCCATCCCCACCGCAGCGGGAGCTGGCTCTGCCTGAAGATGCTCGGTGGTGCAGGATGAGCTGGCTCTGCCCTGCCCCAGCCGCTTACTCTCCCGCTCTGCAGGCCTCCGAAACCCCCAACACCAACTACAACACCATCGTGGCGGGGCTGAGGAACGTCTCCCACGCTGGTGAGTCACCTCCTTCTCATGGCGGGGGTAAAAAGGCGAGACAGCCCAATGCGGGAGGGCAGGGGTACAACCTGGCAGGCTGGGGGGGGGCTTGCCAGTCCCCGGGGGCATCCGGCTGCAATG